GTTTGTAAAAATGACACAATTACCAGGTGCATTGTATGATGCTTGGGCCCGAATGTGCGGCCAAATATCCCCCGTAAACGGAGGTGCAAGAAAACCGAATGTAGGTCTAGGCTGGCGTGAGCTGGAACTGCCGACGAACGGGAGGTTCTCAGTGGGGAAGCTTACCTGGCAACCTGCAAGAGAGAGAAAACACAAACATCAGGAATCAAAAAGTCCAGTGAGACATGCAAATGAATTGCATCAAATTAGAAGGTAATGTGCTAACAGCGCTGCATATTCTACCGGCGTTTGATAAACAACCGCGTCAAACATACCAAAAATAGATGTAAAAGACACAGTCTAAATAATAACTGCAAATTGAACTTCGAAGCGGAACCGTGTCATTCCTTCTCTGTTCAACCGTTCGCCAAGGAACTCATTGAAAATGGGGAGCCAATCAAAGCGGTAGTTCTTTCTTCTGCACAATAAGAATGGACACTGGACCACAACCAAAACAAAAGTGATGGATTTCCTTGATCTCTGCTGCTCTGAGAGACGCACGTAGAACAACTCATTTGGATGTCAGACAATATGCAGCGCGTGAGTCCTATCAAAATCAGTTTATCAACAACCTGATGAACAATTGCGAGTAACGGGGAATGGCAAAATGCAGTGGGAAGTGGAAGACTAAGGTCATTCGTAACAATCATGATCTTTGCCGTGCTATGATGAATAATGGTCCATGGAAATTATTTGTGAGGTAATTTAGAAATTTGGAAGTACGCAAGAGCATCGGGTACTATGGTCAGAATGTTTCACAGCACAGCTTTGAGAATTTTTCATAAAAAACGTTGTTCGTTAGGATAGTCTTATCTCTGTTTCTTTATTTCAAATTCGTAGTAGAAGGGATTTTAGAATCGGACCTGATTTCGTGTACGGATAGCGGCATCAGTGTGTTATCAGATGGCAAGTTACCTGATCTGCAGTATGGAACTGACTCATTAAAGAACGTAAGTTGCGTAAGTTGCACTATTTTCTGGATTAATTGAGCACTAGTGTAGCTATGTTCAGCATGCATTTTGCATCAGAAGGGAGACACTGATGACAAACTGTTAACTCCAATCGCACTATTGATGAGCGAAACTCGAGTCTAGTGCTTTCCAGTGTATGGTTGAATCGATGAACTGAGGATTGTGCGTGAAGGTGAAGTCCGAAGGATAGTCAGGTCAGATCAATAAAAAAACAATTATTCCACCCCACGACTTACAAGTAATCGTGAGTCAAATACGAAAGTACTTTTGTTTGTTTACGGGGAAGTGAGCTCATTCGGACTGGATGGAGTTTAAACAGACCCGATCCAACCGGTGACATTTGATGACCGAAACACCAATCATCTTGTGAGGTTTCCAATGGAGTGCGATTGGTTGGATTCACTTGAAGTTACGGCGGATTCACTTCAAATTGAAAAGGTTTATTGTAGTATAAAAATAGAGCGTGTACAGGGATAGTAAAAAGCAGATTCCTGTTGTTTGAATACTAATGTCTACTGCGTATTGCTCCAGTCTGCTGGAGCAGCTGGTCAAGTAGTAGCGAAGTTGGATGAAGATTATTAGGTACCATTGGTCATGGACTGGAGTAATCTTCACAGATTAAATTGGCTAGGGCAGAATGAGTTACGCATGTGGCCGGAAGGGTCTCTCGGATTTCCGAAGTTTGAAGAATGAAGTAATAAGTAGAAAAGGACGCATGGTGGTTAAATTAAAAACCTGACATGGATACAATAAAACCCTGCAAAGGGACTTGGACTTGTTGTGTAAGACCTCCCGGTTGTTGACCGTCAACTCATTCATGTTGCTAAGAGACATTAGGTGACATGGCTGAGTGTGGTACACAGCAGTGCTCATGTACCCACTCCATTTCTTTGCTAACTTAGTTTCACTGTTTTTGTGCATTTTCCATATTACTACTTCCTGTTTTCTCATTTCCCCTTCAATTCTCCATCCAAACGGAACCGCCAAGAGACTTCAACCGGATACCAGTGCTCGAATGTACAACATAAAAGTACTTAGTGCCCGAACTGAGCTGAACTCACTGATGCATGTAACTAGCGGTCGGTGATAATCGATATTGATTTTCATTGACCATCCTTCGAACTTTGCCTTCACACACACATTAGTAAAATATAATCGGTAGGTTTCATTGAGCTTCAAGAAAGATCTGATCTGGTGATAGATCTTCAGTTGGAACTAACAGGTTGTACATTTTGTCTCCTTCAGGACCAAAAATTGCCAAAAGACACCTGGAAAAAATATGAACAACCTTGAGTTGGCGTTTCTGCTTAACTGGCTACTAACACAGTCACACACACACACACATCTTCTATGTCTGCAGTTCTAATCCCAAACTTGGTGGTGGGTGTGAGCCTTGAGGTGTATGTGGGGGGGGGGGGAACTGAGGTTTAATGCTTCTCCATTACATGTTCGATTGAAGTAACTGAGGACTGCGCTTGTGCGAGGACGAAGTTTGACGGATAGTCACTTCAAAGCAAACTTGCACTGCTTTCTTCTTGTCAAAATGAAAGGGATTTTCAAACAACGCGTTTGTAATTTTCCGTCAGAACTAGACGGAATCTGAAACGGTTAACTAGACAACAATTGCAAATCAAAATTCTAGTTCTTCTTATCATACCACAGCTGGTTGTCATTATCTCTGCGAGTGTTCCAATCACATTAGGCTTACATAAACATACGGATTCTCTAAATGGAACAGCCATAAGTAGGGTACAGTTTATTACAGGTAGGCAATAAATCTAATCTCTTACTCAGTAACCTTGAAAAGAAACCGGACGTGGCATCTGCATTAGGTTGCGTTTATGGGCCGGAATTATCTAACCTCTACTGAACTTGAATCGCATTCACCTTGACGTGGTGTAAACGAAGCATTATGTCACGTGTCACCATAGCCGGTTCAGCAAGAGGTTTACAATTACACCTGTGATGTATCAGTCAAATAGATTGGTGCTTGACTTCGTATACCTTGCAATCACTCTTTCCTTGGCGTTGCCCCGGAATGCAGCTAAGCAAAACGGAATGTGGTTCACTCGTGCATATGATTGGTTCTCGCCTGGTTCTGGTCCAAACCGAAAATGACCAATGAATGATGAGGATGACGTGACGGTGTGTGCGTGTGTGTGTGTGTGTGTGTGACAGAGGCGTGTGCAAACACAAAGCCAGTTGTGGACCACCATCACCATCACCGAGAGCAGCACCAAACAGACAACACAGCATTTGTCATTGACCTACCGCACACGCCTCACGAATTCGGGACTTGTGCCAGTGTGTGCGTGCCTGTGAAACGACCCGTGATGGGAAATGTCTGAATGATTTGATTTGGAATCTACAAAACCTTCCTGTTCAACGTGTTTACTACACTCCACATTTCTCCCAGTCCTATTATTAACACCATGGAAAGACGTTCTCAGTCGGGCGGTTTATTGTCTGTGATTGGATTACTGATTGTACTGTTCCTTTTGATTGTTGTGGGACTCTCGGATGCATACAAGACAGAGAAAACAGCTTCCGTGATCCCGAACCAAGACTCCAATTTAGGTGACAGTGAGAACAAAGTATGGGCAGTGCTCCCAGTACTAACCCCAACTCTGACCGAACCGAAACACGTCACCGAACCCGCACCGGTGACTCGTCGCCGAAGATCCAAATTCCCACGAGAAAGTGGACGCTTGCGTCGCCTAAGTCGCCGACAATTCCAACGTACCGGAACAACTCCGGCGACCAGCTATCATACGCGTGCTGCATCCAGCTCCGCTTTCAGGCGAAACGGGATGGTCTTCCATGCCCGAAGTATTAAATCTCCTTCAGTCTACTGTCCTCCTGGTTGCGTCTGTTTCAAAGCGGAAGTGGAATGCAAATATGCAAACCTGCATCACGTCCCGGAAGGGATATCGTCACAAACGGAGAAACTGTAAGTTACTGCAAAGGAATAGTCTTCATTTTTTACCAAATGGGTTCAATCTATGACCAGTCAAGTATGTGTAATTTTAGAACGCTCTGGTGTATCACTGACCGAGGCAGTTGGGTCTTTGCTAGTTGGCTCAGAAAAGGTATTCGTTCGAGGAAGATATTGGAATCCGTCAGTTCGCTATTTTTGGGGGGTGGGAGGGGGTGCCATAGGGTAAAAATTCTTGTGTAAAGCGATTCAACTGTACCCGTTTCAACAGGTTCACCTGAGGAAGCATGACTGGTTGGGTAATCAAGAAGAACGATTTCGATCTCACACACAACCAATGAAGGAAAAATAGGGTTTTTGTGGGCTTCAAAATTTATCACGGATTTCAATGAAGTTGTCTGATACTTTGAATTTCCCCAGGGATGTTTCAGAAGCACCCTTTCGAGTTACTGGTTGGCTGAAAAAGTATCATTTGGGAACCATTACAATGGATCCGTACCCCCTTAAACTGGTCGGTCACCTTTTGCACTATACTCATACAATGTTAACTTATATTTTGATATCCCGTGCTACTTTTTCTTGGCGGTGACATACCTCTCGTTTTCTTTCGGGGAATTTCTTTTGAACGAACAGCCTGACTGACAATGATGTAAAAAGTTACTCTAGTTGCTGTCATTCTTCGCCTTCTGTTTTGGGTTGTTCATCTTTTGTAGCTGGAAGTTCCACGATCGAGCTGCATGAACTTCGGCGTTGACGTTGTCTTGACTGTAATGGGAGCATTCCAAGCAGACTAGTATGTAACTTATCAAGCAGAAACAGTACATAATTGGATTTTATGAACGTATGATAGCTAACGTCAAAGGGCGGATGTAATCTCGTTTGAGGCAATGCCCGAACTGCTTAGAACGGACATCTCTGGTTGTGCCCTCCATGTATATCATCGTGTACGGTCATGTGACAGCTTGGCTGAGAGGGACAAAGCAAATTGTTGCTGGATTGCGATCCCGTCAATTGAATCTCTAGAAAGATAACCTGCCAGCAGTGTAAACAATTCAGGTAAATACAGGTTTATCCCAGTGTCAACAAGCGCGCAGGTCAACGTCATTTTCGTTTTACTCCCTTTCGATCACTGCATGCCGGCAAACAGGCTTTTCATCGTATACAAATGTGCGCTCTTATTTGCGAATGCTTCCCTCATCCCCCGTTCCATGAGAGGCAGTCAAAGTGTGTGTGTGTGTGTGTGTNTGAGTGAGTGTGTGTGTGTGTGTGTGTGTGAGTGAGTGAGTGAGTGAGTGAGTGAGTGAGTGAGTGAGTTGATCACATCGATTAGTTCGATTCGACCGTGAACGCAAAGTCATCGGTCACGTGATCAGACGTTTGTTTGCCCGCGTGAACGACCGGACGCGTTGATCTGAGCGAGAGAACGTTGTGTATGTGTGTGTGTGTGTGTGTGTGCAGTGCGGTGCAATCAAGCGAAGTGACAAGGCGAGAACGAGAGCGAGAAATGTGCACGCAATAAATCTGACGCTTCGGAAAATTAACAAGACCGGCTGATAGAATCCGTGAACTACTACTGTTGGACCGTAACAAATGACTCCACCCATTGCGGATAAGGCGGTACTGAATAAGTCAGCACAATGTTACTACACGTTAAGAAGTTCATCTAAACCACTGTTAGCAAATAACACAAATTAATCTCCCGGAAGGAATGTTGCGATTGGCAGCGGCCTAGACCATTTGAACACTTATATCGCAGTGATATGGGGTTACTGTTCTCCCCAGTGAAAACTGTATTTGGAATCTGATAGTTTTCCATTCGAGCAAATTCAATAAGGCCGCTGATCACTCTCTTCATCTGAACTGAAGACCATTTTTAAGTATCTCGTTTGGTGTATAAAAATATTTGTATGTCAAAAAGATCTATAATTGTTTTCCCCAGTTATTAGCTATTGGTAGTTCTCCACTAAAAAATAAAGCATTCCTTCGTTTACTGTCATTCACTTCCTTATTACTACAATGTACGATTGCTCCAGATCCTCTGGTAAAACGTTTAGATTGCAATATGGCATCTGATCGATAAATCGATCTCCCTGAGATATTGTATGATCAAGGATATCATCTCTTCAGTAGTCACGAGCTGATGCGTAATTTGCGATGGTTGATTTCTTCTCTCTGTTTTCATGTCCTTTTGTTGAAAAAGTGTTAATAGCGTTTCTGTTTGCTGCTGGATTGGTCCTGAGAAATTTGAATTCAGGTCTTTTGCAGACCAAAGTGTCATTAATCATGATGGTCTCAACCGACCAAGGTGATGCATCTTTAAACGCGACACCATTATTATTATTATTGTCAGACAACGGTTACTGGTACTATCATGTCATTTCCGATGATCAAAAGTTAGTACAGTCCTTGATTGAAACGATGTTTTAAAAATGAGCGGTTTACCGTACCACCCGAAGGCAAGCAATATTCGAAAAAAAAGTTTGCCATCTGGATGAACTGACTAAAAATAACAATTGTAGGCTTGTAAACACATGGTTCTTCCCGAAGGGCAATACGTGATGTATTTCCGAATTTTACTTAACACCACCAGCCTGTTCAAAGACACTTGTTTGCATCCAATGCAAAGGTGTGTGTGCGGTTCGGTCAATGTGAGGTGACTATAGCTAAGATACTGACCGATTTTCGGGGCTTTGAATCGCTCAAGAGCGTAAATTATCTTCGGTATTTCATCTTCACCGTCCACTTTCACAATGACCCATAACTGGAAAACAGACAACATTTGTCGTTCCCTTGGAAATGACGGTCAAACGTCTGCCGCGGAGCTAACCCGATTCCGCATTTACACACGCAAACCGAGCGAGCGCAACAGTGTTCGAAGGGGTATACCAGAAACCACCCTCGTTTTGTGCGATTTGTCCGAGGAAAGAAAGCGATAAATGTGTGCGCTTCATCGTTCACACTTGTTGCCGGTGATCAGATTGAACAAGTGAGCTGCCGTGACTGTGTCAATCACTCTATGTTACCAGGGTGACGTACAGATTTGTTTGAACCGAACGATTCAATCAGATCCGGATAGATAAGTGCACATACGGGTTTGTGTGTTTGTGCGTGTGTGTCTGCGTGCGTGCGTGCGTGCTTGCATGCATGCGTAAGAACGAGTTACTGTTTGGTATATTTTTTCAAGCGGCACTTGTCCGTTACATCCGCTTGAACAATCTTATTAGAAACATTTGACAGGCTGTCCCGTTCCCTAGTTCCGCACCAATTATCGCCTGTGTACACTGGACAAAGTGATGATTGTCGTTGTGATCGTGGTGCTGGTGCTGATGCTGGTCGTACTACTTACTTCCGCAGTGCAAATCCTCCAGTTTGTAGGTCACCGGGGTGCGGGGGGACGGCTCGTTTATCCATCAATCATTGGCGTTCCACTGAGACACAACGACGCAAAAGTTTCATAGAAAAGATGTTTCTACACGAAAAAGAAAACAGCAAAACAATCACTTTCAGTTCTATAGACATTGTGCTAAGGGAACAAAACTTTTCTGTGCAATTACGAAGAATTACTCTGTGAGCACGAGGAACGTTCGTGAGGTAAACCAAACTCTCTTTGTCATACACGTAGATAGGAAAGAGTGTATAAGTTACAAGATATGAGCACGTTACACTGATCCTTTGGTCGCAGTGTAAAATATACTCAGTCATCCATTTCTCAGTGGATGACAGAAACAGCAGCGATTATATGTTCATGAACTGGTTTTACATCGAAAGAGGGTGAAGGAAATTTATCTCACGATATTTCGAAATAAATAAAACTGTCTGAGTGGGTTCCTTTTGCACAAAACATAATAGTTTTAAATCAACGTGACTAGGTTTTCACTGGATTACATGATAACATTGTTTTATGGAGGTCAGGTTAATCACGTGATTTGTCGCCAGTATGCGTTTAAAAATCATATAAATTGATATGGTTCACACAGAGACCGAAAAATACTGAACAAAATACTTGTATCTTTCCGTTTTGGTTACCGTTATATTTGAAAAGATGGTGCGTTGTTGCTTCTGTTTGGCATTAGACTTCAAATGAAGCCTCCTACTTTTGTTTGACGACTCCATCGTGTTTTTTTTAATTTAAATCTACTTAAAGTATGCATTCTGATCGAAAGGCGGTCGACAACGGCCAGTTAGGTCTCGTCGGTCTTTCAGTACATGATCGTATGGTGACCGATACACTTCATGTGCGTTGTTAATCACTTGATCCCTTTTCGTTGCTTGCCTGCCAGAACCACCTCCCCCTCCGCTCCCTCCCCAGGAACATTCAGATCCGCTGTCCTATGGCTTTTAAGATACTGTGTCAAATAAAGAAGGCCAACATCACAGAAATGGAAAATCGTATTATATAATCTGGTGGATTTAGTTTTTCAGTGTCTCTCGAACATTTGCAATTTCAATTTATTCAATACATAATGATTCAGTCCCCAGGAGGGCAGAAGCGGTCGATGAACGGACTGCCATACATCACATAATCGAGAGAAACAGGTGGAGGCGGCGAGGTTCAAACATAAGTCCTCCGGGGGACCATTTGGAGAGGTTACCACCAGGCCACCACCGCCCGGCGTCTGCCAAAACCCTTGTGCATTAAAAAACAAATAAAACGTATCCGCGTGCCTGTCATCTTTGTGACAAAAGAGGAAATAACCTCATACTGATCAATCAGAACTGCACAAGTTCTGAAAATAATAAATATTTCAATACTCCGCGCATAGAGTGAAATAAATATGAACACAAAAGTTAAAAATTCCACTTGTTTTGCTTTAATCGCTTCGACTGATGTCGAGACAAGTGCTCGCATGCAGGCACACATACCCGCACACACCATTCCGTTTTCTGCTCATTGAAATCACTTCGTCCTGATTCATGAAAAGTTGCAAATAGATGGAACTTCACCTTTCCTACTCTCCTTATTTGTTGTAGTTTGTATAAGATTTAATCAGCAGATGCTATTATTGTGGAAGCGAACTT